AGAGATTTGCAGAAGTTGAAGAAATGGTTGAAGAAGGGAAGAGGAAAGTGAATAGTCGGACGGTTTCTGGCATTCATCTGTCTTTTTTTTTTTTTTTCAAACCTTTAGCCAGCGGTGGGGTCATAAATAAAATTGGTAGCAGGTAGACTTCCCGCTCATGGGGTCCAAGTTGGCATGCTAAGTTGTCAAAAAAGTTTGAGTTGGTGCTGACATGTGTATACCTAACGGAGGTAAATGGTGCACGTGCTACACGTGACGCTCTGACGTTAAATTTTGCCTCATTTCCTCAAACTCAAAAATATAAATGGTAAAAATTTATATATTGTAATAAAAATGGTAAAAACCCTTAAATTCGAAAAGTTAAGGGGTAAACGAGTACCTTTTGCCCTTGTTAAAAACAAAAAAAACCGGCAGCAAATTGCAAAAATAATGCAGGCTTGGGTCGGGCCTGGGCTGTTTACTAAAAGGGGTCTAAAGGCCTTTGACTTCATGGATCTCTTTTCCATTTTCCTTCATCTTCTTTTAACTTAAGAGTAAAGTACTCAACTTCCATATTTACACTGTCCAGCCTCCCTCGAAGTTATGAGTCCTCATTTTTTACCATAAACTCATAACGGTTATGGATCGTTCCTAATCCATCTAATTCGCAAACTACAGTTGCCCAGCCTGACCCAACTTGTTTGCGTGGTCCAGCCGATGGCACATTGTTAAATTGACGAAGATGGCCCTGCTCTCTACTTTTGGGGCATGTTTGGTTACCAATACTCCAAAAGCAATTTTTGAGGAAGCTGCATGAAAAAACAGCTTGATTTGAGTTTTGAAATTTAATTTTTGAGCACAAAAATAATAAAAACAAGTAGTTGATCCTAGTGGTTAGTTTTTTTTTTTTTTTTTTAATTTGTGTTCTAAAAGTATAAGGTGTATTAATTATACATTTTTTTAATAATTGTTATGAAAAAAATAAAAATTTACTTTAATTTTATTAGTCACCTAATTAAAATTGTACACATATTATTATTGTTAAAAATAAAAAATTATTTTTTTATTTTTTATATAAATTAGTAAAAAATATAATTAATACATCACTAATTTGTACCATTAAACAAATCTATATTTATTTTATAATGAGTAATAAATGTTTTAAAAGCAAGATAATCAACTAAAATAAAAAGTAATTGCTTTTGATAAAGAAAATTTTCAATTTTTTTTATTATCCAAATTATTCACTTTTATTTCTTTTTGTAGCAAATTACTTCTTAACTCCACTTGTGTGCATACAAATTTATTTTCAAGATTAATGTTGTATTTAAGATTGCTACAAAGCATTATACTTGTAGGTTTTTTAATATTTTAATATAAAAAATTATATTATTATTTGATAATTACTTTGAAAAAATGTATGTATTAATATGATCATAAAATTATATAAATTATTAATTAAAATAAATTTAATTATAATAAATTAATATTTTTATAAAATATTATATAAAAAAATCCAGTAAAAAAGTAACCAAACGCAACCTAAGCCAGCTTAAAAGATATGTGGGCTTCCTGAATAATGCTTCTGGACACAAGTAACTAAAGAGGTCCATAGGGTGAACAATTGACCGAAGGAAACTGTCCCACTTCAACACCTCCTGCTACGTCACAGCCGGCGAAACCTTACCATCAGATTTTCTTCGCCCGTTGAAGAATTAGAGTCAGATTTTCTCCAACTCGCAAATGCTAAATATCAGAGGTACTGCAGGTACATTCCAAATTGGCATAAATATGACATAAGGACCCAAACTTATACAAAATTCGCAATGTTGGACTCAAACTTCAATTGCACTCAATTAAGGTCCTAAACTCCACAAAATTCTCAAATAAGGTCCCAATTGGACGAAAAACTAATTTCCGTCAAATCTAACAAACACCGTTAATGACTTCTTGACGCCGTTTTGTCATCGACTTCCGTGGTGTTGCACCTGTACGTCCTGCACGCCTTTGCATGTTTTTTTCCCCTTTACTTTTGTTTTTAATAATAATATTTTTTATTAATTAATTATTTTTTAAATTAATGAATTAATATTATATAATATACATATCCTCAATTATTTTTAATAAAATAATGATATTTTTATTTTA